ATTACTCAACCGTACAAGAGGCCTAGGGGCCACATCGCTAACCTGAGCTAGGAACAAAAGCACAAATCTGGTCCGAATTGAAAAGTTTACTGATTGGGTGGTGGTGGGGGGAGGTGGCTTGAATTCTAATACAACTTGAGAATGCCTCCATATCAGTACTGCATATAACTATTGAGAAAGTTCTTAAGAAAAAGATTTTTAAAGATTTTATTTTAACATTTTTTTTTGTATATATTACTTTGTAATAATTTGAATTTGTCTCCCCATTGTTTCCCTCCCTACCCCAATTGTGGCCCCACCCTATCCCTGGAAGTTATGATTTGAACAAACTAGTATCTGTACTACCTGAGGATGCTTCCATATGAATATCACTACTCATGGCTTTGCAGTACTTGAGAAGAATTTTTTAAAAAAAGATTTCCCTACAGGTATATATTCCTATGTAAAACTTTGAAATTGATTGCCCATTGTGGTCACATCCTATCCCCCGGGGTCATGTTTTGAAAAAAAACTGGAATCTACACCACCTGAGGATGCTTACATATGAGTTTCATCTTTCCTGGCTCAATAGTCCTGGAGAAGAACATTTTTCAAACATTTCCCTATATATTCCAATTTAAAATTTTGAACAGCCATTGTGGCCCCCAAACTTGAATCTACACTACCTAAGGAGCCTCCCCCCGTAGCTACGTGCCTGAAAGATGGAAAAACGTCATGTTAAAGAAAGAACTATTCGAATTGCTTAGTATTACATAATTACATAAATTGAATAAAATCAATCATTTTAAAAGTTCTCCATAGTGTCTGCGTTGATCTGTATTTGTCAAATTTTTATTTGTTATTGTAGAACCAGGGGGAGCAGCGATAATTCACTCACTCCACAAATCAGAGACATGTTCAAAGTTTTGGTCCCGGTCCTAAATAACCAGAGCACGACAATCATTACACCCCTACTGGCGACAGGACGCCAGGTGAACTATTTTAAAGGGTTTTGGTCAAAAAGAGAGTATAACTGTGATATAATTCATGTTTATTATCTTGCAGATATATACCAAAAAAATAACGTTCACGTGATACATGTACGAAATTCTACGTAAAATTGAACGAGAACTGTGAAATTTTTTTTCACTAATAATTTTTTTTTCATTTAAATTTCAATGCACATATCTTGCACAATATAAATATGGTATCGATAAATGGTATGATTGATTTGCAGTAATGAGTGATTTGTTTAATACTCTTCAACATTATGTTATTTATGCAGCGCTTTGACAAGAATATAGTACTAGATGCGATAGTTCAGGGGGCCATCAGCTGGATCCAGGCCGGACTTCCATTGAAAAAGTTAAAAATAGTCGTGTTTGGCGGGAAAGATGATGATCTGAACAAGTGTTTCTCTAGTTTAAAAGAAAAACATTTGAAGGCGAATAGAAAACAGGTTCGTCTTTTTAATTTTTTCTGCTTCATTTAAAATGCATATAAGAGCGTGTTTGCAAGAGACCTTTATGGCAAGCCCTTTTACTATTTATTCGTAACATAATTTTTTCTTTCAAAATGAGAGATATCTCTCTAGCAAAGAGAGATATCTCTTTAGCTTATGGAGATATCTCTTTAGCTTATAGAGATATCTCTTTGACTAATAGAGATATCTCTTTAAACAAAAGAGATATCTCTTCAAACAAAAGAGATATCTCTTTTTGAAAGAGAGATATCTCTTTTTGTAAGAGAGATATCTTTATAAGCTAGAGAGATATCTCTTTAAGCGAGAGAGATATCTCTAAAAGTTAGAAAGATATCTCTTTAACAAGTTTAAAAGAGATATCTCTCTTACTTAGAGTGATATCTCTTTAGATTTTCAAAAAGAGATATCTTTCTAAGCTAAAGAGATATCTCTTTTAATGAAAGAGATATCTCTTTTCCAATCACCCTTTAATTGAAATAATTAATTCTCCCGTTAAAAACGAAAGCGAAACAGGAAGTAAAGTCTGTTAATTAAGTCGTTCGTTTTCTGATTATTGAAAAGAAGAGGGGAGAATGGACTGATTGATACAAGTAAACAACGTTTAATTGCTTTATTGTTTTAAGCGGAAATAACAGGATTTCAAACCAAAACGTTCCCCAAAGATTGGTTCCATAGTATATTTATTTCATTTATTTAGCTCACGGGACAGCTGAGGTCGGGATATAGAATGCAAAGTCAATAAAAACAAATAGGAAATACATGTACCCAAATTCATCGATCAAGGGAATACACGGTTGATTACTATGTCGATTTAACATAATCCTGATAGAATTAATGTTCTTTTTATGCGCCCGGATCGATAGATCCCGAGCGTATATTATGTTCCCCAAACGAAGTTGGGGAACATATTGTTTTTACTCTGTTTCTTATTATTATGTTCCCCAAACGAAGTTGGGGAACATATTGTTTTTACTCTGTTTCTTATTATTATTATTCTTATTATTATGTTCCCCAAACGAAGTTGGGGAACATATTGTTTTTACTCTGTTTCTTATTATTATTCTTTTTTCTTCTTATTTCTTCTCCGGACTTTTTTGTCCGCGAGTGTTCTCAGAAACTGTTCACCCAACTGAGCTAAAACCTTTTTAGGGTTAATAGGTGTGTAGTGTAGGTGTGCGGAACGAAGGTCATTTTGCGCGCATACGCATGCACGTGCGTGCGCGTGATATGAGTGAAATGATTGATATACTAAATATAGCTATAACTTTTACATTTTTTACTGAAATGATTTGAAACTCATTATATAAAGATATATTAATAGTGTATATAAGGTGACACTGTCATATTAGCACGAACTCACGCGCATGCACGTGCGCTTTGCTCTGATTGGCTGAAATAAAAATCTCAATATCTTCTCTGTTTTTTGACGAAATGCTTTGAAATTTAAAACTTATGCATGCTTTAGGATATCCTACAATACGGTATATAAGAATTTTCATGAAATCACGCGCATGCACGTGCGCTGCAATCTGATTGGCTTAAACTTTAAATGGCTATAACTCCCTTGTTTTTCAACCAAACAGCATGGGATTTAGAACATAGACAAACATAATGGACTCCTAGAAGAAGGTATGGTCATCATGAACATGCTTGCACGTGCATGAACGTGCGCTTCGCTCTGATTGGCTGAAACAAAAATCTCAATATCTTTTTTGTTTTTTGACGAGATGCTTTGAAATTTCAAACATAGGCATGCTTTAGGATATCCTACAATGTCATATATATTAATTTTCATCAAATCACGCGCATGCACGTGCGCTGCTATCTGATTGGCTTAAACTTTAAATGACTATAACTCCATTGGTTTTCAACCAAACAGCATAGGATTCAGAACATAGATAGATATTATAGACTCCTACAACACGGAATGGTCATCATGCACAGGCATGCACGTGCGTGCACGTGAAATGTGTAAAATTCTAAATACACTAGATTAAAGATATTTTTGGATTAATTGTTGTAATATTTAGCATATAAAAATATATGAATGGTGTAGACAAGATGATATGGTCATTGCGCACATGCATTCAAATGCGCATGCGTGCGATGCTGAAATTGAATACTATAGTACTTCTGGTAAAAGTCTTAAATGTATCGCGTTTGTCTTATTTAATGAAGCTTATAGGGAATAAGGCACCAAAAGGAAGTTGGGGAGCGTTTGGGGAACATCTGTAACGGTTCCCGTTACAATTAGCCCTAGTTATTATTATTTTTCTTCCTGGGAAAATTTTGTCCGCGAGTGATCTTGTAAACTACACATCCGACTTAGGTGAAACCTTTTTAGGGTAAGTAGGCATGTTATGTAAATTTGCGGAATCAAGGTCATTTTGCGCGCACGTGCTTGCAAGAGCGCGCACGTGCAAAACTTAAAATGACCAATATATAATGGATATAACCGTAACTTCTCTATTTTGTGACGAAATGTTTTGAAACTTATAATGTAAGGATATATTAGTAGTATGCACAAGATGCCATGGTTAAAAAAGCAAGATCGCACGCGCATGCACGTGTGCTTCGCTCTGATTGGCTGAAACTAAAGTCTCAATATCTTTTTTGTTTTTTGATAAAATCATTTGAAATTTTGAACATAGTCATACATTAGGGAGATCTACAGCCTGTAATATAAGATTTTTCATGAAAGCATGTGCATGCACATGTGCTTGCAAGAGCTCGCACGTGCAACACGAGAAAGTCCAATATAATTGATACAGACGTAACTATTAAAATTATTGATGAAATGCTTTTAAACTCATTTTATAAGTATATATTAGTAGTATGCACAAGATGACTTGGTCAAAATAGCAAGATCGCACGCGCATGCACGTGTGCTTCGCTCTGATTGGCTGAAACTAAATTCTCAATATCTTTCTTGTTTCTTGTCATAATCCTTTGAAATTTTGAACATAGACTTACATTATGAAGATCTACAGCATGATATATAAGAATTTTCATGAAAGCATGCGCATGCCCGCGTGCTGCAATCTGATTGGCTGAAACTTTAAATGGCTACATCTACTTTGTTTTTTGACGAAATGCTTTGAAATTTAAAACATTGTCATGCATTAGGATATCCTACAATATGATATAGAAAAAAAACATGAAAACACGCGCATGCACGTGTGCTGCAATCTGATTGGCTTAAACTTGAAATGGCTATAACTCCCTTGTTTTTCAACCAAACAGGATGGGATTTAGAATATAGATAGATGTAAGGGTCTCCTACAAGAAGGTATGGTCATCATGCACGTGCACGCACGTGCGTGCATTTCGAACGAGTGAAATGAAAATTACACTTGAAAGAGTGATTTTTCATACTTTTGGACTGAATGCTTTAATATATTGCATATTAAAATATGTAGATAGTGTAGACAAGATGATATGATCATAACGGACATGCATTCACATGCGCACGGGTGCAATGTAAAATTTGAATATAATTGGTATCCTTCTGAGAAAACGTTGTTAAAGTCAAAATGCACAGAGTTTGTCTTATATAATGAAGCTTACAGGGAATATGGCACCAAAAAGGAGTTGGGGAGCGTTTGGGGAACATCTGTAACGGTCCCCGTTACAATTAGCACTAGTTATTATTATTATTTTTCTTCTTCTTCTTCTTCCTGGGTACTTTTTTGTCCGGGAATGATCTTGTAAACTGTTCGTCCGAGGTAGGTAAAACCTTTTTAGGGTAAGTAGACATGTTATGCAGATTTGCGGAATCAAGGTCATTTTGCGCGCACGTGCTTGCAAGAGCGCGCACGTGCAACACTTGAAATAACCAATATAATAGATATAGTCGGAACTTTTCTATTTTTTGATAAAATGCTTTGAAACTCATAATGTAAGGATACATTAGTAGTATAGACAAGATGGCATGGTCAAAATAGCAAGATCTCACGCGCATGCACGTGCGCTTTGCTCTGATTGGCTGAAACTAAAGTCTCAATATCTTTCTTGTTTCTTGTCATAATCTTTTGAAATTTTGAACATGATCCTACATTATGAAGATCTACAGCATGATATATTAAAATTTTAATAAAAGCATGCGCATGCGCACGTGCTGTAATCTGATTGGCTAAAACTTTAAATGGCTATATCTCCTTTGTTTTTTGACGAAATGCTTTGAAATTTAAAACATAGTCATGCATTACGATATCCTAAAATATGATATAGAAAATATTCATGAAATCACGCGCATGCACGTGTGCTGCAATCTGATTGGCTGAAACTTCAAATGGCTATAACTCTCTTGTTTTTCAACCAAACAGGATTGGATTTAGAACTTGGATAAATATAAGGGACTCCTACAAGAAGGTGTAGTCATTGTGCACGTGCGTGCACGTGAAATGAGTAAACTAAAAAATACACTCGAATGAGTGCATTTTTTTAATACTTTTGGATTAAATGCTTTGATATTATTAAAATTTTAGATAGTGTAGACAAGATAATATGGTCGTTACGCACATGAACACGCGTGCAATGCCTATTTTTTAAATATATTTTGTATTTTTCTTGGAAGACCTTGATTAAGTCTAAATTCCATAAAGTATTTCTTATTTAATAGAGATAACAGGGAATATGGCACCAAAAGGGAGTTGGGGAGCGTTTGGGGAACATCTGTAACGGTCCCCGTTACAATTAGCACTAGTTGTTTTTGTCCTGTCTGTTTTTCTGTTTATCTGTTTGTCTGCCTGTCTGTTGTCAACTTTAACCTTCGCCATAATTTTTGAACAATAAAAGATAGGGACTTCATATTTGGTATGCATACTCCACTAATAAGGTCCTTTCAAATGACATCAAGGTCAATGACCTTGTGACCTTGACTGTGACCTATATGCTAAAAATAGCTTTTTCTACTGTTTGTCATAACTTTTGAACCATAGCAGATAGGGACTTTATATTTGGTATGCATACTCCACTAATAAAGTCCTATCAAACGACGACAAGGTCAATGATCTTGTGACCTTGACTGTGACCTATATGCTAAAAATTACTTTTTCCACTGTTTGTCATAACCTTTTAACCATAGCAGATAGGGACTTCATATTTTGTATGCGTACTCCACTAATAAGGACCTTTCAAATGACATCAAGGTCAATGACTTTGTGACCTTGACTGTGACCTATATGCTAAAAATAGCTTTTTCCACTGTTTGTCATAACTTTTTAACCATAGGAGATAGGGACTTTATATTTGGTGTGCATACTCCACTAATAAAGTCCTATCAAACGACGACAAGGTCAATGATCTTGTGACCTTGACTGTGACCTATATGCTAAAAAATAGCTTTTTACACTTTTTGCCATAACTTTTGAACCATAGGAGATAGGGACTTCATATTTGGGATGCATACTCCACCGATTAAGTTCTTTCAAATGACACCATGGTCAATGACCTTGTGACCTTGACTGTGACCAATATGCTAAAAATAGATTTTTTGAACTTTGTTGCCGCTGGGCGCATAGTGTTTCACAAACACATCTTGTTTAATTTATTAATAATCCAAAAATAAAAACGTCCAACATCGATTACTTCTTTCATCATGTTCATGTACACACAGGGATGTATATATTGAATTTCAATATTAACCGTAGGACGTTAAACAACATACATGTACGATCAATATCTTAACTGTAAAGCCTTATGACCCCCTTCCCAAATACTCTTACAATTATGAGAAAGACATTTTCTTAAAATAGGCATTAGATATAGGAATTTTCTTATTTGTCATAGCTAGAACAATCTAATGGTGTCACCCAACAGGTCCGCACTGGGTCCATAGGACATTAATCATTCAATGGTAGAACATTTTATCTACATTTGTCATTATATTTTACAGGGATCCAGAAGGTACTGAAAAAGGGACAATGCTTCGACTGAATGTGTCATCCATGTACCAGTATAGATCTGTTAATGAGGCATATCCAATAATTCTTATACTCATGAAGAGTTTGGCAACTTCCAAGTAGTTAATGATGGCACTCATTTTAAATCAGGTACAGGATAAATTTTTGGGCTTCACTTTTCTTAAAAATTACTTCAATATTTCAAACTTACTAGTTCAGTGTCAAGTCCACAAAAGCTTTAACACCATGGTAAATCAATGGACCATAATGTTCGTTAAATTTGTCATATGCTTTCTTATTAAATTATCAATTTGAAATTTGATTGGTAAAAAAAAACATTTATTAACAAGTACAATTCTCCTACTGTGTGCCTGTCATTAAATCCCACCGATTGAAAATGCACATTGATAGGTTCTCCATAAAAATTGCTAACTGTGCAAAATGTTTGCACATTTTTTTTTTTTTTTTTTTATTGAAACTTTCACACATATTACAAACATTACAAACTTCTGTAAGGATATATGTACAATCAAAATCAAACAAGACTAATTATAGTTGGAACATACAAAATTAGTGTAAAAATTTATGAAGAGAGAGAGAAATAGAGAGAGGGGGGAGGCAGGTAAGCATTACATATTGTGCCCTAAAAACATAATCAGCTTTCTTTAAGCTTACCATATTAAAAAAAAAAAAGAAAGAAAGAAAGCACAATTTTTTCAATGAACTACATTTTCTTAACATTGAATCCTTCAGAATAACAAGACAAATATTGCATGCTTATTTTAATACACTATAAATAAACAAGAACAAATTAAGGAAGTTTAATTTGTATATTTGGTAGTTACATGCATAATTAGTTTATAAAGGATGTACACAAGCATTTTATAACATTGAAAATATTCAAGAGAGTTTTCACTTAATTTCTTGTAGATGCTCACTTCTAGGATGTTTTCCACGTTCTTGTGAAAAGTGTTTTACGTGGCACCATTCAGATACAAATACTTTGCCGATGGAACTGTGACATCAATCAACTGCTCATGCCACTGCTAAGTAAGTTAGTACTTATGAAATTTTGTTTGAAGGAAGCTAAAAGCGTAATGAGTACTGAAAATACAAGCCAGATGAAGTACAAAAGTGTTGATACAAGTCATTTAGAATTTTTAATTCTTTGCAGGTAGTGATGAGTGTACTGGAAGTTTTTTCAGGATCTTGTCCGACATCATAGGTACAACTGGTCACTGTGCTTTCTTGGTTATATAAGAAGATATATTGTTAAAGCGGTGACATATGTAGCTTCAAATGATGCTTGACTGTTAAAGTGTTTTTCTTCAATTTATAAGTAAACCTGGATTGATCTCTGATGCAGTAATATAGAGCCATGTCCATTCTTTAAATTCCATCATCCCACTGTCACAAAGTACTGAAATAAAAATGATTTTGATTTTAAAAATATTTTTGGTTTTTATATGTAACATAAAATTCTACAAAAATTCAAATATTAAAACTACTTCAAAACAAGATGTGTTTGTGAAACACTATGCACCAGGCGGCAACAAATTTAAACAAGTTTTCTTTAGCATATAGGTCACGGTCAAGGTCACAAGGTCATTGGCCTTGTGTCATATGACAACAAGTGATGAAAAAATCAAAATTTTATTTTTTTGTTAATTTATATCTACACATTTTGGTACATCTGTTTTGTTTTTGGATAAATTGTATGTTTAACTGTCATATGTTTACATATGTACATTTATTATGCCCCCCTTCGAAGAAAGGAGGGCATATTGCTTTGCTGCTGTCTGTAGGTCCATTTAGTTTCCATCATTTTCTTTTGGACTTAGAAAAAGTCCAATATGGGGGGAGGGGGGCATAAGTGTTTTACAAACATCTCTTGTTATTTTTAAGTTTGGAAAGTGCACTGTGTGAGTTTGTGCAATTGTGGTGGTGAGTGGGTGAAAATTGTTTTGTATGTGTTTGTATATATGGATATGGAAAAAGCTTCAAAATAAAGCATTTAAAAAAAAAAGTTTTGGAAAGTATGGCAATCATATACCAGTACTCAGAAATGCTAAACTAGAACTGTCCAATAGGGACAATTACCCCCCGCTGGGTTTTTCAGAGAAGGTGAGAATTCAAAAATACTTAATGGATCTAGAGATGTTCACAATTTACTTAAAAAAATTTGCAGTGAAATATAATTGCTCATCATGTTTCTTAATGAATGAAATGGAGGTGCAACCAAATGAAACATCAATACTAATATATTGTAATTCCATTGTAACATTTTTTTTTTTTTTCATTTAATTTTTCTTCATTACTGCATTAAAAAATATATTGCAATTATGTGTTATGTCACTCTGCAAACTGATTGTTGAAAAAAAAAACCATTATACAAAATCGAATTAATCTTGATATATCAATTTTGAAATGCATTTTGAAAATAAAGAACTGGTCATCCAGTAATGAAGTGTTTTGACAGACAATAAATTACAATTAAGAGAATAAGAGAAGAGAGATCTTTAATTCTTGTGCCTTATTCCCTGAAGATTTGATAACACACACACACTTGATAAGAGATACCAGTATGCCTAAACAACTTCCAACACCAAACTCATTAATTTATCTTTAACTGGATGCATGTCCAGTCATTATTCCCAAGAGACAAATGAAATTACATTATCTTCTGTGCAATGTAAAAACCGTTTTTAACACTTGGTGTTTCTTTTTTTTAAAAAAGTTTTTATGAGTAGTTTTAAGCTGTAGTTCACGTTTTTGTAAAGATATTCTAGATTCTATGTCTCAAACCTTATACATGAGCCCAAAATGAACAAGTCAATTAAAATTTTAACCAGAAGTCTCTGTCGAGACTGTAGCTCTACTGGTTTATACTTAAAACAAAGGAAGAGAAAAGTAGCAGTAGCCACTTGAAACTTTAAAACAGCAATTAATAGAAAATGGTCCACTTATCAAAATAAAAACCAATGCACAGAATTATGTATCTTAGTATAGTCTGCTTGTGTGCCAAGTTATATTGAAATCAGACCAAAACTGTAGGAGAAGTAGCATTTTGAAAGAATTTTACAGAAATTTCTATTTTTAGTAACCATGGCAACACCTTTCATCGAAATCAAACAACCGATGCACAGCATTATGTATCTTAGTGTAGTCTACTTGTGTGCCAAGTTATAATGAAATCAGACCAAAACTGTAGGAGGAGTAGCATATTTTAAAAGTCTTTCACAGAAATTTCTATTTTTAGTATCCATGGCAACACCATTCATCGAAATCAAAAACCATTGCACAGAACTATGTATCTTAGTGTAGTCTACTTGTGTGCCAAGTTATATTGAAATCAAACCAAAACTGCAGCAGGAGTACCATTTTGAAAGAATTTCACAGAAATTTCTATTTTTAGTAACCATGGCAACACCGTTTATCGAAATCAAAAACCAATGCACAGAATCATGTATCTTAGTGTAGTCTACTTTTGTGCCAAGTTATATTGAAATTGGACCAAAACTGTAGGAGGAGTAGCATTTTGAAAGAATTTCACAGAAATTTCTATTTTTGGTAACCATGGCAACACCGTTCATCGAAATTCAAAACCGATGCACAGAATTATGTATCTTAGTGTAGTCTACTTGTGTGCCAAGTTATATTGAAATCAGACCAAAACTGTAGGAGGAGTAGCATTTTGAAAGAATTGCACAGAAATTTCTATTTTTAGTAACCATGGCAACACCGTTCATCAAAATCAAAAACCGATGCACAGAATTATGTATCTTAGTGTAGTTTACTTGTGTGCCAAGTTATAATGAAATCAGACCAAAACTGTAGGAGGAGTAGCATTTTGAAAAATTGTTTACAGACAGACAGACAGACAGACAGACAGACGGACAGACAGACAGACAGACGGACGACGGACGCATTACTATCGCATAAGCTCTTCTGGTCTCTGACCAGTAGAGCTAAAAAACCTGTAAAATGCAGAAAAATGAACAAAAAGAAATGAAAATTCCAGGTACACAACTTCATATGGTGAATAATAATTGTACAAATTTTCAAATTAATCCTTGCAATAGTTTCTGAGAAACAGTCCAAACAAAACCACAAAATAAAAATGAAAAAACACCTGTAAAATTCAAAATAATAATCCAATCAAGATGAAAAATATCAGGTGCACAACTTCATATGGTGAATAATATGTGTACAAATTTTCAGATAAATCCTTCCAATAGTTTCTGAGTAATGGTCCGGACAAAATCTTGTCTACAGACAGACGGACAGACGGACAGACAGACATGGTGATTCCAATATACCCCCCCTAAACTTCGTTTGCAGGGGGTATAATAAAAGGCTTTGTAGAAGAAAAAAAAATAATTAAAACTACCAATCAAATAAGTATTAAATGTAAATCTTTTAAGATGAAGGTTTTGCTTTGTCAGATTCTTTGCTTATAGGGACACTTACCTTTAATAATGTCATGACAGGTGAGGCATATGGCTGGTCTTCATGCTGGATCAGTTCTTAATTAAAACCATCCAGTATTGTCCTAAGATTGCCAGATGTACAGACAAAAACCTGTAATTTAGCAAGCTTTTGTAACATATGTCATTTGAATTATTATATAGGCCATAGTTGTATATGCAACTGATAATAATGTAGGACTAAGGTACCTGACAAATAATGTTATAAATCTTACAAATATCCATTTATTTGATACAAATCTTAACTTTCTTTATTAAATTTTATCAATGATTTTACAAGAAAATCAATAAAAATTGTCCTTTTTATACACAAAAAATATTTTCATTTAAATTTTTTTATTTAAAAATATTTGTTGCATTTCATATTTAGGGTACCCTTCCAAGGCCAACAATAAAAAAATGATTTGTTTGATGTACTTTGACCGACCTGTTAAAATGGCCCCAACCCATTAGCAATCATATTTTGGGGGCTCTTAAAAATTTTGGACCCCCCCCCCCCTTAATTTCCATAGATGTTTTAAAGATAAGGTATCATAATTTTTTAAGATGCTTTTTAATTTATAAATACAAAGTCTTTCTCACTAAATGAAAACATTAACAGATTTCTGAGTCTGTGGTTTTAAATATGAAAATTCGTAGGAAAGAACTATATGCGGTATTAACCAACATTTGCCCCCCAAAATCAAACTTTGATGGAGAAATATTTAATTTAGTCCTTAAACAGGGGAGTATATGCTGACTTCAAAGCGCTGAATAATTTCATAAGTAATGACGTCATATGTATGAAATGACGTTACAAATATGACGTAAATTTCAGTTTTTTATGAATTTTGCAGAAAAATGTACATATTTCGTCGATATTTTAAATAAAAGTCACCGAGCGCATGTGTGTTCAGGATAAATATTTTGATATAATGTGTAGAATGATAATATCAATGAAATATGTCACTATTGTTCCTGAACACACATGCGCTCTATAAATTTTAAAGCTTAAATTGTTGCAATTTTGTCCATTTTGTCCTCTTTCTGAAAAAGAATATAAAATCGGACTAGTTTGTGACGTCATAAAAACAGAAATTGTGAATACACTGCTCTGGAACTATAATATTTTCTGTTAACTTATATTTCTCGTACAATTTATTGAATTCAGCACATTTCAGGAAGTTTTCAAAATTTGACTTTTGTGGGGGCAAACATATGCAATATACCGCATATAGTTCTTTGATCAGAATATCTTGAAAAGTGATACAGTTGAATTGCTTACATCAGTATGTATCAGCATATGAAGTTTGACACTAATTTCAGAGATGTGAGGTCAAGGTCAAATGAAAGGTCAAAGTTATGTTGATGCAGTTGAATTGCTTACATCAGAATGTATCACTATATGAAGTTTGACACTAATTTAGGAAAATTGAGGTCAAGGTCAAAAGAAAGACCAAGGTCAAAAATGTTTGTTTCAGATGAAAAGCCCTCATCAGTATGTATCAACATGGTAAGTTTGATACAGTAAAACTCGTTTAGTAAGAACACTGATATTGTGAATTCACGGATATAGTTATCTTGGATTCCCAGCTATAAAAATTCAATGAATTTCTTATAGGATTATATAATAATGAATTACGGATATAGCAAAGTAATTTCATAGGTCCCAGCAACTTCGTTATAACCGAGTTTTGCTGCAACACCATCTTGAATGGTATGTTTAAAACTGAGCTAAACACTAATTTAAGAAAAATGAGGTCAAGGTCAAAGGAAAGGTCAAGGACAAAAAATGTTGATGCAGTTGCATAGCTGTTATCAATATCTATCAGCAAAGTTTGATGAAATATCCTGTATAGTTTCTTTGAAACTGGGCTTTGAACTGAGCTAAATGCAAAGTGTGACGGAAAGACAGAGAGACAGAAGACAGACATGACAAACACTATATGCCCAGGCCATATTCATGGTGGGGCATTAAAAAACTACTGGTACCTACCGACTTACCTAGCAACCTTGAAAAAAGTGGGTAGGAGTACATCAAACAAATATATTTTTTAAGATGACCAATGTTGACTAGTATATTAATCATTTTGATATGCTATGTCTTACAAAAAAAGACATATTTTTATACAAATTTCATACCTGTATTTGATTTGCATTGTTTTGGATGCTGATAATTCAAGGTCAGTATAGTCTTAGGTGCTGCTGACTTTGGATCTCTTAGGAGCTGCATCTTTCATCTGTGTAACTTGTTCTCTTGGACCTCTGCTATGAAATAAGTTTTAGTGTAAACAGTTGTGTAATATCAGTGAATAAATTGAACGGACAGATTGATTGATTGTATATTGTTTATCGTCCCTCTCAAGAATTTTTCACTCATATGGAAACACCAGTGGAGAGCTGCAAATTTTGTCCTATACTCGGCACTCAGGGCCATTGACTAATTGAGCAGGGAGGGATCTTTTTTTGTGCCAACACCTGACTTACTGCGACAAGGGGCCACGGTTATACTGTATCATCCCAAGGACAGGTCTCCACATCCCACAGTGGGATTAAAACTCACGATGTAAGGATCAACTACTTACTTCGTGACTCTAGAGCAGACACTCTAACCATGGTGCCATGCAGGCAAATTTGAACAGACAGAAAAATTAACCAAAATCCATAAACCATGTTCTATAAACAGGGAACATACTCTCTAAAGTCATCGTCGGAAACCCACGGGTAATCTCGTCTTTACTTATCTCGCCGAAAAATCGTTGCATGTAATTAAATATGCATGTTTCATTTGATTGGCCGCATCACAGAGTCGCAATGCCAAACAATGAATCAAAGCTCACTTTATTTACATGTGTATGCATGTTCGGCATTGCCAAAAACATGAAAAACTCATCCCGTAGTTAACACAGCTAATAAATCCACTCACAGGTGCATTTTGCAATTAGAAAGAGGTACTCCTACATCTGATGGATATTAATGTCGGTGACCTGTACGAATTGACTTTCACTGTTTTAAATCAATCTTCGCACGTTTTTAACGAGCGTCAAAATATTAATCATAAATAGCAAAGTAATAAATGTATTTTTCAAAATTGAAGAGTTCCAACTTTCTGACTGGTTGACAAAAACAACAAATTAGCATATTTTACGGCGATATTTCAGCGAGTTTGCCCACGGGTGATAAGTAAAGATGAGATCACCCATGGGTTTCCGACGATATCTAAAGTGAGAAATATGGTCATCTGAATTTTATTTTATGAGGAGAGATGGCAAAAAATATGAACATTCTTATCCTTGTGAAATAGATCTAAATTGCTACAAACATTTTAATGCTCAAAAAAATAATCCACAGATACAAGACAGGTTAAAATTTACTGAAAAAAAAAGTATATTAAAAAAAAAATTTACCAAACATTTGTGTCAAAAGTGATGCACTGACGTTGGTACCCATCCATGACAAAACTCCTCCTCTATAATCAGCTGATAATAACATCTCGGATTCAAGAGAAATCTGTTAAAAATTAAGGCAAAAGATAATTTCGAAACTATATTTCATTGGGTTAAGAAAAAAACACTTCATCACTGGCGGATTTAAGGGGGGGTGTGGGGGGCACACGCCCCCCCTAAAATTTTCAAAGTCTGATGTGACTAATATTTATAATGCTACATTTTGGTACAAAACTAACCAAATAACTGTTATTCTGCCTGGTTATATTCTTAAAATATACAAAAATTCTTAAAATATACAAAAATCCAGGAGCTTCCGGGGGCTGCGCCCCCTGGGCCCCCACCATTCAAAGTATGATATGACTAGTATTAAACACGCCGTACTTTGGTACATCACTAACCAATACTACTATTACTAAATTATAAGTAATTATATCGTTTTATTATATAGTGGCATGTGTAACAATACAATGAGAATGAGAAACATTCAATACATTTATTATTCAAACATCAGGACCTATATGCTATATACTTTTAACAAAAATAATTGAAAAATATGAACTATATTATTGTGCCTGGTTTTACTCTAAAATACATGAAAACCAAGGAGCTTCCGGGGGCTTCGCCCCCACCTATATGCTATATACTTTTAACAAAAATAATTGAAAAATATGCACTGGTTAATATGTGCCTGGTTTTACTCTAAAATACACGAAAAAACCAGGAGCTTCCGGGGGCTTCGCCCCCTGGGCCCCCACCTATATATGCTATATACTTTTAACAAAAATAATGGAAAAATATGCACTATTATTGTGCCTGGTTTTACTCTAAAATACACCAAAACCCAGGAGCTTCCGGGGGCTTCGCCCCCTGGGCCCCTACCAGGGCTTCGCCCTGGACCCACTGGGGGCTTTAAGGCGGCCCCCAGACCCCTTGCCTCAACAAAGTTATCCACGCCCCCCCTAACCACAAATCCTGTATCCGCCCCTGTTCATTTTCCCTCAAAATAAACAAGAAATGGATGACACTCTCTGATTTGTTTACCTTAATTCGATCGAAATATTCCTGGTGGACGCTCGCACCCAAGTTTTTATGACATGAATTTCATCCATCGTAAGTCGGAAAACCCTTCAGCTTTGTAAAACTATTTAATTTCCCCCCGAAAACGTTGTGTAAACCAGAAACATGCTGATGCTGACACCATGATCATGACCATGTGAGGGCAAAATCTCGAGAGTCACGTGACGAGACTTACAGACTCTGGACCGAATTTTCTCAGCTTTTGAAATAATGAATAAAAAGCTTACTTCCGGGAAAGGGAGAAGTCATTTCAAATGCAATTTAAATAAAAATAAAGAAGAGAGATATCTCTTTGCAATAAAGAGATATCTCTTTTTGCTTGAGAGATATCTCTTTTAGACCCTTTTGAAAGATATCTTTTTCAATTTGAAAGATATCTCTTAAGATAAACTTAGAGAGATATCTCTTTTACTTTAAGAGATATCTCTTTAACTTAGAAAGATATCTCTCTAAGTGGAAGAGATATCTCTCAAGGCGAAAGAGATATCTCTCTACGCGAAAGAGATATCTCTCTAGTTGAAAGAGATATCTCTTTAACGATCAGAGATATCTCTTTAACGTTCAGAGATATCTCTTATCACGAAAAGGATATCTCTTAAGGAGAAAGAGATATCTCTCAAAATATAAGAGATATCTCTCTAACTTTGAGAGATATCTCATTCTTTTAGAGATATCTCTTAAGAATAAGAGATATCTCTTAAAGTTGAGAGATATCTCTATTTTTTAAGAGATATCTCTCTAAAATGAGAGATATCTCTGTAATTTTCAGATAAAATTTATTTTCCGAATAAATAGTAAAAGGGCTTGCCATAGACCTTTGCAGTAAAATTCGGGTCATGATATTTGAATCTTTCAAAGGAATGAATATTTTAGTCTTTCTAAAAACTTCACTTTTCTTTGGAAGAGCAGGGCTAAAGTGACTCTTGATGTGAGCCTTATGGTACAGGAGCCTTTTTTTTTTTTTTTTCAAAATCTATACATATTTTATTAAATTTTAAGTCCGTCGGATGGGACAATAAATGGTGCCCTGTGTCAAGGATACAACCTTGTAACAACCCCCTTGGTACGTAAAAGATCGTTTCTCTGGAGTTCGAACAAGAGTAGGCTCATAGGGAGCCTCAAGAAAAACCAAAAACTTTCAAAAACCGGTCAATAAACAAAGTTATCCGCCGAAATATGGCTAAAATATTGCCGACTCGGCGTTAATATACAATTAATCAATCAAATATATATATTTATATCTGGATTTATACAGATATTCTTTTTATCTACTTATCGTAGATCTGAAAACATATTTCATTTTAAAATTATTTTTTATTTCCATTGTAGAAGAACAATACTCCTTATGATATATTTCTTGTTTACCAACCAAGTGATATGCCTTTAGTGAAAACCTTGTCCAAGAATCTTAGTAACCGGAATAAAAATACAACTATCTACTCTAACGTCTCAATGTTTAATGAAGAAGAAGTATGGCAGGAGGGAATTTTTGATCTTATGATGGGAAGTAAAAGGTTCGTGAGATGCAGAGGTCAAAAATTAACTCTATTCAGATTAACTTCTATGTATTTTGCATATGCCTCAGAACCACAGAATATCATTTCATTGATTTATGTACTAAAAACATTCTAAGATTGTTTATGATTTCTCCTTAAGATTGACGTTTATATTACTGATTTTTTTTTTCAATCCATCAACAGAATAGTTCCAGTACTGACCTGTAATTTCATTCAGAGTGGAGAGTGTTTGGAGATGTTCAATATGGCGATCTGCTGTACACGTCACCGTGGGAAGGATTTTCTAGTCCCTTTGTACTTTGAGACAATTCAGATTATTCCAGTCAGCATTAGTCTGGTTCAGTTTCTCGATTGCAGGTACACGAACATTATATATAGGGTGCCATAAGAGTCTAAAGGATTTTAACAGCAAAAGTAAAATACAAATTTAACCACAATAGGCACTCCTTTCCAAAATGAGAGAAATACTCATTGACCTGGTACACTGGTATGTTTTTCTGTCTTTTCGGGAAATAATGCTTGAGCCATGAAATAAAAATGGAGAACCATTATATAAGAAACTTAAGTGTCTGCATTTAATTATTTTCTAAGAATATGTCGAGAACAAACCGAGGACCCTTGAATTTAGAGATGTGAGAAAAGGAGGTTCTTGTTAATGAGCTAAAGGTGAACACTGTTGCAGTGTTTACGGATTTTTATATGGCCAGAGATACATGTAATCCTGTTTAGTGAAAAGAAAGTTAAGTCTACCCCTAATATCGTTTTAAAAGTTTACCATCATTTACTTGCAGTTACACAGTACGAATTTATGAGTTTATGCAGTACTTGATTTATTAGATTGTTTAAATTTGCAACGATCTTTTTAATTATGGAACTATAGAGATACTAAGCGTCCCTATGTTTATTATTTGTCCAGTTAAGATAAAAAAAAATGTAACATATGTTAATAAGCTCTCTAAGACTAAACAAAATCTATGGCTGGGATAAAAATAACCACTTGGTACATGTACATGTGACAGGGTACGAAAAGAGGGCGATACCGCTGAAGGAAAAATGGCGGCAGCATGTGTTCAACTGTCGTTAACAGAGCCCGAAGAGGAGGAAAATGTTGATAGCGAGAAAGAAGACCAATTCAAGAATGACGTCTTCATTTCATATGCTCACAAAAATCCTACTGAAGCGCATTCATTACTAGATGAATTTGAAAAACAGTTTCCAGAACTTGATGTTTTTTTCGACAGAGAGGATTTACAAGTCGGTATGAGCATGCAGTTTCGGCAGCATTTATTTCTGTCTGTCTAGAAGAGGGAGAGGGGATTTTTTTGAACGTAAAAAAAAAATAATATTTGTGGTTTTCTTCTGACACAGGTGGTTTGTGGCAGAAGAGTCTTTATTACTCCCTGGACTCCGTGAAATGTGTTATCGCCCTTGTATCACAGAGTTATCTGTCGTCTGTGGTTTGTCAAGAAGAATTCAATATCGCTTTGTATCGATGTAACAGAACAGTGAGTATTCATATCAGTGGTCATAACAGCATAAAATTACCAGTTAAACGCTTAATTTGACTCTATAAAGCTTTCTCTCGATAAGATAACCAATAAAGTTTTATCGATAAATATGTGTAAAGCCAAAGATGAAATTTTCAATGTAAATGTACAAATTAGATTTGCTACTAACTATAAATTCTTTCTTGAAATATAAAACGAATTTCTCCAATTACCATGCCATGTGTGTGTTAAACTCGATTTGAATGAAATATGTGACAGGCGATAACAAACAACAAATACCTTAGCTCAAAAGTCCATTTAACATTACAAAATAGGAGCAAAGCGAACAAGGACCTCTAAAACATCAGAGGTGGGATCAGGTACCATAGAGGAGTATGCATATTCTCCCGATCCATCACATCTGCCGCGTGCTCATCTTCATTATTAAAAAATAACAGAAAAATCCACCGACATTTCAATTCAAAATTAACACGTAAGAATTTATTTGCAGACAAGGTCATTGTATCAAACTTAGAATTTACAAAATGATGACTTTAAAAGAGACTGCTGATCGATATTCTTGTGTCATCAATTTGTTTGTCAATAACTAATTTTAAAAATAGCTCATTTTAGAAATTGTCCTTACGTAGAACATGCTCTTTGGTGTCGAATCGACCGATATAAACCCGTGTGCATGCAGGTAATAAAGGTATCTATTGCAGCATAAGTAAGAGACTTTGACAATTAAAAAGTTCGAGTCATTGTGTTTATCCTATTAAAGATATTTAAGAAATCAAAGTTGCAAATACTGTTTTTTTTATATGGATTACTGAAATGATACCTTTTCAGCCAGGGGAGGTTCTTCTCTTTCTCGTTTGCATCGAGGATCTGCCGTCTGTTCCTGAAGTCTACGGTGAACATAAACTGATAGACGGCCGAGGAAACCAGTACAATGAACTGGTCCCCAATCTCGTTAAGGATGTAGCAGATTGGGTGCTAAAAAGAAAAAGACCAGCATACCTTCCTAATATATCAACAAAGGTAACGGTTTACTATAATAAATCAGAACAGAACATACTTTGTAATTTTTGTTTTAATTACTTTTTTGGTTAGGGTTGGACGTGTAGAGTAAAGTTAACGTTTATTCCCTTGAACAGGCTTCTCAATATTTCAATTTTCCAAAGCAGTCAGAAGATAGAAAGAAAGAAATTTACGACAATTACAACGTGAAAATAAATAGCATCGAGAGAAATGTTCCTTATGATATGAAACCCCTGGACCAATCTTCGTGTCATGTTGTGGTTAGTGTCAGTCAGAATGACCTTAGTTTGGCCACATGTTTCTTGTATCAGCTTCAGAAAATTAATCCAGGCATCAAGACTGAACTTATCGACGATAACACAGGAATTGACTTAAAGTGCTTACAGACAGCTCAAAAGATCGTTGTTTTCATATCAAAGCAGTACCTTGAGTCAGCTCATCACTTAGAGGAACTCTTAATCGCTATCATTCGCCAGCGGAATGATAAAGAGAGGAAGGTGTTACACGTCTGTCAGACCACAAAAGTAGAGAAACCTGCCTTTGCAAATTTATTACCAGTAGATGTATGTTTGTGGGATGAGTTTTGGGAGATGTTCAAAGAATCAAGTAAAACGGTCAAGCTGGATATCATGGAATTAAAAGGGTCATTCTCGTACAAATCACAGGACTTTGCAGCCATGACCAAATTAGCAGACGACATATTGCTTGAATTGGGAGGGTTTGTAATTAAAAGAAAAAAATTATGAATAAGCAAGGGGAAAATCTTGACAAGTAAAGTTCTCTGTACATGCATTGATAAAAAACAAAATATGCACGAACTCCTTTGATTTTATTCCAGATTATATTCTCATAAGGTGCTTGTACATATATTCTCGATTATTTAAACGTCAGTCTATATACTCTTTCAACAAATTGTATAAGAAAAGAACAGATTGAAAGTATAATTTAGTTATGGCAATTGATGCTATGACACTTTCACTTCAGACAAACACAGTCCAAACCATCACCAATCATTGCAAAAGCAAGGAAAGAAAACTCAGATGTGATGCTTGAATTGCAGAAGGTAAATACATGTCCGTCTCTCTGAAATACTGATTTCTTTCATTTTATCAAATTCAGTTATATTCAAAATTTTACAATTTCAAAATGTCTTTTTATGCAGTGCCTTTTAAAATTGGAACTTACCTCCAAACAACAGGGGACAAATTCAACAAACAATGGAAACAAATCTTCATCATGCAATATTCTCTAGACATTAAAATCATGTCAGTTTGTTTTACAGATCACAGATTTATATCTTTTATGCCCCACCATGAATATGACCTGGCTATAAAATGTTTGTCTTGTCCGTCTTCCGTCCTTCCGTCTGTCCTTCTATCACACTTTGCGTTTAGCTCTGTTCAAAGCAAAGTTTCAAAGAAACTATCCAAGATATTTTCATCAAACTTCATATGCTGATAGATATTGATAAGAGCTATGTAACTGCATCATTTTATGACCATGACCTTTCCTTTGACCTTGACCTCACTTTCTTTAATTAATATTTAGCTCAGTTTTAAACATACCAATCAAGATGGTGTTATCAAATATCACATGTTGATATATACTGATGTGAGCTATTCATCTGCATCAATATTTTTGACCTTGACCTTTCTTTTGACCTCACCTATTTTCAGTTAGTGTTTCGCTCAGTTTTAAAGATACCATTTAAGATATTTTTCATCAAACATCATATGCAATATTGATTAGAGCAATTCAACTACATCAACTTTTTTGACATTTACCTTCTCTTTGACCTTGACCTCATTTTTCTTAAATCAGTTTCAAACTTCATATGCTGATACATACTGATGTAAGCAATTCAACTGCATCAACAATTTTGACCTTGACTTCACTTTTATCAAATTGTGTTTAAGTCAGTTTTAATTAAAGACATCATTCTAGATATTTTTACCAAACTTCATATATTGATGAGAGATATGCAACTGCATCAATATTTTTTACCTTAACCTTTGCTTTGACCTTGAAACTCACTTTTCCTTAAGTAGTGTCAAACTTAATATGCTGATACATACTGATGTAAGCAATTCAACTGAATCAATAATTTTGACCTTGGCCCTTTATTTGACCTTGACCTAACTTTTATCAAATAGTTTATTAAGTCAGTTTTAAATAAAGACATCATTCTAGATATTTTTTTAATCAAACTTCATATGTTGATACTAGGGATGGCAATTGATTGCAGAATTGCCAATCGGTTAACCGCAAAACGTTCCGACCGATTAACCGGTTAGTCGTATCAAGATATACATTTTCACATTTTCTTTTCATAAAAACAAAAGGCTAATAAGACGTTAGAAGTTACATTTTGTCTATTATTTTGATCGAGGAATTTTATGGACATTAAAGTATGTTTTATTTCAATTTCAATAGACAAAACTATGGATCTTGATTGAGAAATCAAACTGGAATAATATCCAACGCAGATGTTAAAGAAATTAATTCTGCATTGTCACCATAATCAGAACTAGTCTGTGTCTAAACTCTCCCTTTATTTACAATTTACAACGTTCATTATAATAATTTAATTCAATAGATAATCTAATAGATAACGGCAAAATATAGACTTACTTTAATCAAAAGTCCTTAACGGTGATGTTTTTAATATCATTTTAAAAAAAACAGGACTTTCTGGGTAACGGCATGATAATATAAAAGCAGTAATTAAGTACAGCTATTTATAAGAACCAGGCAGAAATGAAAATAAGTGATTCATGATAGTGATAGATTTTTCAAAAACTATCATACTTACATTAAGATACATCAAACTAAATACTTAATCACAGTTATAAATGGATTTCATGCATGGTCGATTAAAAAATGAATTCAATATATACTGAAACAGTCAACAATATCCATTGAAAGGTGTCTGTACGTGCAGGTGATTTTTTAAGAAGGCCCGCACTCTCCTTGAATGTGAATTATAAAATATTGAACATCTAGTATCAAAGAGTAAAAAACAATTAAAAAACCCATGGTTTATTTTAATTACAAATAAATATTGTGATTTAAAATCTCCCTTGGCACTCTTCAGTAAAAGGAGTTGAAAAGAGTGTATTTAACTCTTCAGTTTAGAAGGTGGGGATTAAGAAATGTGTGTGATTTCATCTTCATTTTTGAAGTTTTGTCTGTTTTCATACATCCAAGGGGGCTGGGGCATGTAAGTATAAAATTTTTATTAGAAAAATTTAAGCCTAAGATAAAAAAAATAACTGCCTGCAATTTGCTTAATTTCGTCTGACAAAAACAAAATTTTATTTCCTAAACATGCTAGAATCTAAATGAGAACTGTGATAGTTTGAGTGTTTTGAAAAAGATGAACCTGTTTAACAATAACATCAAAATCAAAAACCACTTAAATTCAGTTAATTTTGGGTAAAAACATTTGATTTTGTACTGGAATTTCAACACTAGCTGGAGATTACAGTATGATGAGTATCTCTCCTTTCCGTCGATACTCCCTTAGTTCTGCATGATATACAAAGTCAACTGGAAGAAGCCCTTGACCTCAGCGTACATGAAGTCATAGCAAGAATCATGAAAGCAGAGATTGGATGGAGCATAATTTTTTCTATGTCTCGGCACCTCTATGGATGTCATATTTAGATCAGGTATTTAATACACAACTCAGACTAATGTATACTCTAAACAAAGACACTATTGACTATTTTTTGTCAAACTAAAAAAGGGGAAAGTCAAGAAAAATTGATAGCAAACATACAGGCTAACTGCTAGTAAAAGTTATCGGTCCTGCAAAAAATCTACCAGCTAGCTAGCCTGAGAAAATAATTGTCTTGTAAAATTGATTTTTGAAACTAGAGGTACTGTGAGCAATGAGCAAATGATACCTCCCCCCTGCCTCCAATATGAATATAATAGTGTCCATGTTTTGTTGTAGGAAACTATCATATTAAAAATGCCATACTTTCGTACAGTACGGTACCACTATTTTTTTGCCTAATTTTTATCTTAAACACATGAAATCCCAGGAGATTCCGGGAGCTTTGCCCCCTGGACCCCTTTATTCAAGCTATGGTATGACTAACATATGACTGTACTTTGGTACATAATTATCAAGACCCCTTGCCTGAACAAAGTTATCCCCCCTTCCCTTTTAATCACAAATCCTGTACTGCTCATGATACCATTAGTTGATTTGGAAGCCATTAATCAAATTAATAAATTTTAATTAATGAAAACTTTAAACAAGTCCAGCTGGGCATCGATATGTGCAAATTGGTAAGCCCACATTAAAATTTGTGCATCTCAGGCGGTCAGGCACACTGTTATTTCAAACACTGTTTTCTGAATGGGTCCTTAAAATCGGGAATATTTAATTAAGCCCTGAAAAAAAAACCCATGGCAAAACCATAATTACTATTTTTCTTTTTCATTTAATCAAAATGTAAAATAGTGCCCTTTCAAACTCTATATTTCCAAACTTATATGTGTATCATATTCTTCATATGCATTTCCTTTTATTTGAATTATAAATAAGGGTGGGGAGTCCTACACAATTTAATTGACAAGCAAAACAACCAATAAAATACTGGCCAGAAAATTGTGGTTTTATAAGTTGATATTGGGGGAGAGGGTGTTAACCTCCCCAAAAATCCGAAAAAAGCCAAAAAACCCTATCCAAAGGGGGGGGGGGGGGCTTACCAAATATTCCTACAAGCAAATATTTACACACATAGAAGGAGAGAGATTTATAAATATGAGAGCACATACCACATGCATGTGTTTCTGCCAATGTTTTCGTCTAATTATAGGTTTAAAACTTAAAAAATAAAATTTGATCTTACAAAACTATAACTTTTTTTCAATTTATAACTATAATAGTATGAATTAATGATGATATCACTACTCACTAGTACATGGGGGAGGGGGAAGGAAAATAAATATTTAAATATCAATAATTCAAAAGCTAAATTGTTATATAAATGTATGCATTCTCTTGTCATATAATGAATTTCATGATTTGTTATCATTTCAGATGCAATCTGAGCCTTGTTCTGAATTTCAAAATCCCCTTTGACAACACCTGCACAGCTGAGGTTATGTAAACTTTAAAATTGAGGACCACCGTCACCAAGAAAAGATTATCAAATCAACTAGTGTTAAATATACTTTATATAATTTATTTATCATTAGATAATTTGGTATTTTGTGTTGACAACTTGCAGTTTTTTTTAATTATCATTAATAAGATTCCTTTTTGTTTAGCAATCAAGGATCTTCTGACTAAATTAAAGTGAATTAAAGTGAACACAGCCATTAAGAGACTTTGAAACAGGTATTTCTTCTGATCTTGATTCTCTGAATTTTTTAGCTCACCTGAGTCGAAGGCTCGTGATCTCTTCTGATCAAAGTTTGTCTTTTATCTGTCATTGTCATTCTTCAAGGGGAGAGAATTACAAAATTAATAGCATTGCTGATATCTAATCTCAAGAACCAATGGCCAAGGAAAGATGAAACTTATGTGGAACCATTGTCAGGTAGTGTAGATTCAAATTTTTCAAATCATGAACCCCAGGTGTAGGACGGGGCCACAACGGATGATCAAAGTTTAACATAAGAATAAATAAAAAAATATTTGAAAAATTCTTCTTGGATACAGCAAGCCTTGATTGGTAATATTAATATGAAAGCATTTTCAGGTGGTGTAGATTAAAGTTTGATCAAATCGTGACCCCGGGGATAGGGTGGGACCACAAAGGCCAATAAAATTTTACCTAAGAATATAGAGGAAAAATCCTTTAAAAATATTCTAAAGAACACAAAAGCCAGTAAGTTATATATACATATGGAAGCATTTTCTCATAGTGTAGATTTGTTCAAATCATAACAAAACATGACACCCCCCCCCCCCCCCAGGTATAGGGTGGGGCCACAATAAAATTTCAAACTTGTAGGGAAAAACTCGGTTAGTCAAAAATAAGTACCCCATAAGCATCCTTAGTGTAGATTCAGTTATGTTGAATCATACCCATCCCCCTCTCTCTCTCCCTTACAGGGAGAGGTCAGGACCAAATGTGCTTTTAAGCTTTTCAATACAAAGCTGATTTTTGATTTTTAGGTCACCTGAGTAAACTCAGGTGACCTATTGCTATCCGTTTTCGTCCGTCGTCGTCCGTCGTTCGTCGTCCGTCGTGTGTTAACATTTGAACATTTTAGCTTCTTCTCTGCAACCACTGAACCAATTTCAACCAAATATGGCACAAAGCATCTATGGGTGAAGGGGAACAAATATTGTGAATTTCATGATCCCTGCCCCCCTGGGG